TCACTGTCTTCCACCTGGACATTGAGCCATCAACCACTACCCTCTGGATATTACCATCCAGCCCATTTCTTATCCACTGAACAGTCCACACATCAAATCCATATCTCTCCAACTTAGAGAGAAGGATGTTGTGGGTGACTGTGTCAAAGGCCTTGCAGAAATCCAGATGGATGACATCTGTAGCTCTTCCCTTGTCTACTGATGTAGTTACTCCATTGTAGAAAGCCACTCGGTCGGTCAGGCAGGACCTGCCCCTAGCAAAGCCATGCTGGCTGTCTTGAATCACCTCCCTGTCCTTCATGGATCATCAAGTCCAATCATTAACCTAACACTGACAGGTCCCCAACTAAACCACATCCCTAAGCACTATGGCTACATGACTCTTAAATACCTCCAGGGATGGGGACTCCACCACTACCCTGAGTAACCCATTCCAATACACAATAACCCTTTCAGTAAAGAAATTCTTCCTAATATCCAATCTAAACTTCTGTTGGCGCAGCTTGAGGCCATTTCCTCTTGTCCTATCACTTGTTACTCGGTTGACTAGACCGACCCCCACCTCTCTGCACCCACCTTTCAGGCAGTTGTAAAGAGCAATAAATAAGGTCCCAAGAGCCTCCTTTGATCCAGGATTCTCAATCAGCACGTTACATATAAATAGATAAAATATATAGTTATTTGTTCACATACAGACTCTTTCCAAAAGCATCTAAAAATGTATTATTCCTTCTACTGTAATAGGCAGATAGGAGAAGGGAGGGTTGTAGGAAAGAATGGGGCAGAAATGTTACCAACAACAATGAAAACAGGGCTTGAACTTCCACATTCTGAAAGAGAGCTGGAAGTATACACTCCTATTACAGAGTCACCAAAATTTAACACCAGCTGATACAGAACGACAGGTTTCAAACTCCTGTAGTGCGGAGTGCTGAAGTCCTATTCTAAGAAGTTGTTCTGTCCTTAGGTTGACAACTGTCTATATTCCAAACCCTACTACAAACAAATTAAATTAAGTACAAGATATAATGTCAGGTCTTGAATTCCATCCTTCACATAACTGCATAAAGTTTTTGATCTACTTAATTATAGGCAATAACAACTCCTGTTTCTCTTAAAAATCTACTTCAGAGATCAAGGACAAGATTTTCAACAGTATATCTGGGTAACTCCCTCCTGTCATAAAGACTTAGCCACAAATATTTTAACTAAAGCTATCCCTAAGAACATAATTTTACAGAAGACTTAGAAAAATTTAACCTGTAATTAACATTATTTGATTCCTTCCTCTTCAAATTACAATAAGGAAGAAATATTTCCATTCTTTTGAAGAGCCTTCAACAACACAAAAAAATTGGATGCACAGTCTAAAGCCTTATTTATCTATAACTGGCGGCAGCAAAACAAGCTCTTCCACCCACAAACATGCTCAAAACTCAGCCTTTGAGGTAATTTTGCTAAGGGCAAAAGAAGATTTTTGCTTCCTCACTATTAATCTCCCCTGATCAGATTAAACAACTGGGCATATTTTTGCTGTCTGTACAGAGTCTCTGAAGCTCACTAAGAAATGATTAAGACAAACCATTACCCTTAAGTAATCAAAAGAGTCTTTTGGTGATAACAGCCCTTCTGTCTTTCCAATTTGTATCTTCAATTTTTTCAAGTGAGCCTTTAGCCAATTATCTGTCCCTAGACTGATCTAGTTTTAAACATTAAAATACTAACGAAAAGTGAAAACAAACCTGGCTGTTCTTCCCACCCTGTGGATGTATGTGTTTGCATCTTCTGGACAATCAAACTGGATGACCCAGTTCACTGCTGGAAAATCTGTACAAAATAAAAAAATATGTCAAAATCTAAGTTCACTGTACCCTAAATCCTCCTATTCAAGAGCAACATACTATTTTTAAGCATTAATTCCTCTAAGAACCATCATTTAGACCAATTTACTGACATTGGGTGCAACCTCTGAAATAAAAATAAAATTAATTGCATGTTTTAGCATATCATAAACAATCATCGTCTTCATCAAAGAAAGTTAAAATTAATGGTGTCTTCATTTCCTAAATTATGACAGTGCACTGAATCGAACATAATTTCACACTTGACAAGAACAGGTATGCTTTGTGACACACAGATAATAAAACATCACTGCATTTAATAATTAAATAACAATATCTGACCCCCTTTTCATCTACAGTATAAATATCCCACACCACTGGGGTTTGAAGTTCGCTGTAGCGACACAGCACTACTTCAGCTGTCCACATGCAGAAATCTTATAGTCCCTCTCAAAGACAGGAGTGGGTGACCAAGCCTGATAAAGAAATCAATACTGAATGTGAATGATATTATTAACAAGCATTTTCTAACTGCTGCACTGCATCTGGGAGCAGCCTGCTTTGCACTGGCGTAAATTTGTGTTAATTCCTGACCAAATCCATAGCTACATTGTATTCCACAATCATACCTACACTCCAAACCTAAACCACACCCGTATTAGATCCTCACTAGTGAGATTTCAGCAGTCTGTAATGTATAATAAACCGTTTTCATTTCTGCCTTTAGCTTTTAGAGCCCCTTCCTTCCTCTTGTAGAATACTGACAAAACCAGGGCAAGTTTAGTTTGGACATTAGGAAAAGGTTCTTCACCCAGAGGGTGGTGAAGCACTGGAACAGGCTCCCCATGGGGGTAGTCATGGCACTAAACCTGATAACATTTAAGAAACATTTGGACAGCACCCTCAGACACATGGTCTGAATCTTGGGATTGTCCTATGAGGACAGGAGTTGGACCCAATGATCCTTGTGGGTCCTTTCCAACTCTATGATTCTATTATTTTGGACAACAGAGTTTGCTATCTGAAAGAAGAACAAGTAGACTCCTGAAAACAGTCTCATGTCATACTTAAATGCCTCCAACTACTTTAAAAAAAAAGTCCAAAATATCCACAGAAAATATAAAGCAGTAAATCATAATGCAGCAGGTAACAACCAGAGGAAAGAAACTCAAGCCAAACAGGTCCCATAAATATTCTTGCTTTTTCCCGTCACCTATTTTTTTGCCTCCTTAAGAATACAGTCCTATAATGCCATCCATAATTCAGACATGGAGATTTCTTCAGGTTTTCATTTCCACATACTGGTAGGTTAGCAATTTTTCATACTCTTTGGAATAACCCACAGGATACAGGCACATCAGAAATACTTAAAACTGCTAAAGTCTTGCCTTAAGGCACGTAGTAAGCAAATATACCACTATTTTCATTTTCTCTCATTCCAGATACTTGTCACAGAACACGGCTGGAAAAACTAGACTGTCTACAGGCTTAATAAAATTAATAAATAAAAAAGCTTCCACTGACTACCTCACTAACAAATGCCATTACAAAACTCGTGACAACAGAGGTCTTTCTAGAACAAAAAGAAAAAATAAGCATAAATTAAGTGGACCTCTTCAGAAAAGAAATGGCAGAACTCTAAGAAGCGTATCTCTTCATTTCTTACAAATCAGGTCGGTCTTCAGAGCATAAAGTCCAATAAAGCCTCAACAGGGTTAGATCCTCACTTTGTGAATAACTATCACTTCTGTAAGTACATACCCAGGCCACGAGCTGCAATATCTGTAGCAAAAAGTACTGCTGCCTTTTTCCGAACAAAACAAGTGTAGACTTCCATTCTCTTCATCTGATGCTGCTTGCCATGGAGTGCCAGCACAGGAAGACCAGGCTGAAGCTTACAGAACACTCTGAATAGATACTGGACCTACCCAACAAATCAGGGGGAGGGAAAAAAATTACCATGCAGTGTTAAACTTGTAAAGATCATATCCAGTATAGAGCAACCAATTTAGCACGTCAACGAAAAAACACTTTTCTCTACATCAGAGACAAGAGATGCTATTTTGAGACTTTGCCACACACCCAGGTGCTAGAAGAAGAAATGGCACAAGATTCTATGATCAGTATACCTTTTGATGGCATTTCCTAAAAGGAACAAGAGTAGGTGACAGCAAGAACAACTTAGGACATGACCTAACTAGTCAGGCTGTATGCAAGCGACCAAAGTATCAGAAGTCCATCAGAAGCACTGCTTTTAGACAACACTGGAGGGGTATAGTGTCTTATGCCTGCACCCAAAGCAGTCTACACAGTCATGGTTTACTATTTCAAGCTTTAACAGCTTCTCTTATAAAGGCAGTATGTTTAGTCTTACATACAGGACCGTGATGCAGCATTATTTTATACCAGGCAGCTATCTTATACTTTTTTAAGAAAATAAGTTACAGAAACTGCATATATTGCAGTAACAGCTGCACCTCAGAGAATTTCTGCACAAGGAAATCTTTCACCTCTCTGGTGCCTCAACATCTACATAAATATCTTATTTTTAATAGTTTTAAAATGCTATGGGAGAAGAGGGGAAATAGTCATACCTCTTTACAGCTTGCAAAAAATACAATGCTCTTCTTCTTCAAGTGACTTCTCAGGAAAGAGTATAACATATTTACTTTTTGCTGAAGCTCACAAACAACATAGTTCTGATCCAAAGTTGCTGGGGTGCTAAAAAAAAATTAGATATTGTTAGTTCCCATAATATTAAAATGTCCTTTCTTATAAGTCAAGAGTGTCTGACAAATACCCAGAAAAAGTAGAAGGAAAGAAAAAAAAATTAAAAAAATTCAGGGTGGAAAGTTCTCTTACCCAGAAAAAGTAGAAGGAAAGAAAAAAAAGTTCTCCCACTTTGAGGAGTAAGTCTTAGCAGCTCCACTAGAAAGCTACTCTTGAAAGATGAATCAATTTCCTTACTAAAAGCCAGTGGGGAGGAGTGGACAACTTTTGACATTACTGCTAAATTCATTTCCTACTAGAAAGAGAAACTCATTCCACGTCTAAGCAGCAACATTCAAATTGCCTTGACTTAAAACACAATTTTGTCTGTTAGTCCTATTAAAGCATCATTTGTGCCTGAGGCAATGTCAAAGCACAGTCTAATCACACACAAAAAAGAGCAATGATGCACTTCTACTGATTACACCTTGACGTGCAAAGTGACTTTGTAAAGCTCTGAACCATCATCTTAATTCACCTCTCTGTTCTTTACAAAATAAACTAAATAAAAAAAAAAATCTGTGGTATATTTGCCCTTGAAATCCATTTAAGTGCTCACAGTTACTCGGCTTCACCCTAAACAGACCAAGGTGCCACTTGGGAGAATGAAATTACAAGATTGCTCCAGTTCTCTTAGTCAATTTGAATTATGCCACAGCAACTACTAAAACAAATTAATATTTTCCTTTTTTTGACTCAGTTTATTATCTAATTGCACTCTCACAAATATTTAAAAATAATTAAACATGATTTAAAATAGACTTAACAAAAAATGTGAGATCTGTGACACAAATGTATAGTCAGTCCTCAAAATGAAGACTACATACTAGGCTTATACATCCTCTTCTGCTAAGAGGCCATTAACTACAATTTTTTTCAGGCAATCATGCTTATTTAAGATGCCTGTGATAGTACTACTGATTAAAAAACGTATTTGCAGTACAATACAGAGATAATCAAACGGTTAAAACTGCCTCAGGATTCAGCCTGGCTCTGCTGTTCATTTTGCTGATAATGTCTCATTTGCTCTTACGAAAGGCACTTTTATCACTGTGCTTCACCTTCCTCCTGCATCTTACATATGGAAATACATGCACACTTCATAGGAAAGCAGAGCTTTTCTGGTCCAAACTGTATGGCATGGCAAATTTATGTCATGTGCTCAGCAAACCGAGCGCATCAGGAAGCCACAAGACTTGCTGCACAGGGACTAATGCCACGTGCTTTCCTTTGGGCACCTAATATTGAATATACAAGCATGACTGTCATTCTGCACTTTCCCAAGGGAGTAGCATTCCCAGATTTATCAAGGGCACACACAAGGAATGTATTTGTGCAACACATCTGGTGGTTCTGCACAGTAAGTATGCACAGGAGGCAAGGAAGCCAAACAACAAAAAAGTAGCAGTTCAGAAGCAAGTGCTACAGCCAGGAAACTACTCCATCCAGATTATAACCCATTCTGGGGCTTGCTCCTGAGGAAGAAAATTTCCAGTCTGCAAAGCTGCCCGAGGAGCCACAAGGAAAGTGCAGGTTCAGCCTCCCTGTAATGAATCAGTCAGAACTAGTACCCTCTTATCTGGAAACTCCTTACTTTCAGGAAGGCACACAACAGGATCAGATACTCCAGGAAGGAGGATGCACAACATAACTTCTGATTCAGGGAACTGACAGTCAGAGAAGCAGTTACAGAAGGATCATCATCTGCTTAACCCCCCCTAGAAAAAAAAAATTACCCCCACATACCTGAATTTGGCTTTCTCATGAACCCAAACATATTCCGGATCTTTCAGACTCAGCCGTGCAAGATCCTTCACTGATTTTGTTTGTGTTGCAGAAAAAAGCAAGGTCTGGCGTTTCTTAGGTAGATTCTCTATGATTGCATTCATTGTATCAGCAAACCCCATATCTAGAATTCTGTCAGCTTCATCAAGAACTGAATTGAGAGAGTTTGAGAAAATCTGGTTTTAGTTTTATTCATATATTTTTAAAATATATATATATATATCAAATCCATATAGTACAAAAATCCATGCCTACTTAAAACTGCAGAGATTAACAATTACTGTACATGACAGGATTCATGTACTCCATAAAATACGTTTTCAAAAAAAACTGCAATAGAAGTCACAGCATTTCCCATAATCTAGGCACTACAGCCCTCAGTTTCACATGCTGAAGCACAGAAGATCAGCATTTCAAGTAAACAGACAGACTGTAAATTACAAACTCCCTGTCCTATTACTGAAACAAAAGCATGGGATATAAAACAGTGCTGTACTATTCATGACAGAGCAAAACAGACTCTCCTGTACCTAAGCTGAATTTACCATGGAAACACAGAGTATAAACAGAGTAGTGCACAGACAAAGCTTTAAGTAAAGGGCCTATGTTTAATTCCAATTCTTGTCTAACTGCCATGAATTATACTAACTGTAGCAAGCATAATTTCATGTTTTATCAGCTTCATTAACTTCTTAATTGCTTCCAAGTTCCTCAAGCTATGCTAAAGATTATGCAATTCTCAGTGGCAGGCAAACCTTTTCATTACACTGAAATTTTTATTCAGGTTGGAAGGAGGAAAAGAAACAACGTTAACAATGCTAACAAAACAATGAAAGGAGCAGCAATCTGTCTTAAAATTCAAAGAGAAGCATTTTTCAGAACTCACCGAAAATACACACACTGCAATGGATATCCCATATAAATAATATAATTCCATATAATTAATAATGTCAGGAAAAACATGAGAGCCACAGTCAGAAATGACTGGACAGTCTTAGGCAAGACAGATCTAAAGGATTATATGGGACACTACATTTGGTTTTGGGTCCCTTACTAACTCATCTACTTGTTCTTATCAACCTTAGGAAGGCACGCTCAGCAACTGCTTCAGAGACAGTGCACACAAGAAAGGAGTTCTGTTGTTTTCTTTTTTAATGTGTACATGTGTGAACTTAAAATGTCATTTTATCTACATACCATGACTAGAATAAACTTTTTATCTGAGGAAGTGCTCCACACAATTATGAACTGTTACAAAATATTTCTGATAACTTTCAAATACTCAGAAAACTTACTCAGCATTTGCAGATCAGATGCATAGAAATATGAAGTTTCATCCATGTGCTGTAGAAGCCGTCCTGGAGTGCAAATTAGCATATTTATTTGGTGGATTCTTTCAGACTCTTCTTTCAGATCCTGAAAAGGAGTTAAACCAGCTTAGCTCTAGTTGTTCACACTAGAAGCCCAGTACCAGAGATGGTCAGGCCGACATCATCTACTACTATCTACATCTATCAACTACTATGATAGTTCTTGGAAAGAGTAGTCAAGGATCAGCCTCTTCAGCATGCTCACACTTGTGGCTTGAGCAAAAACTATTTCAGAATAATCTAAATTAACAGGATAGTTGTGGAAGGCTTGGCAGGAAGGCCCATCCAGTCATATAACCTGGAAAGACTGTAAATATGTAAAAGCTTCAAAACACACAGAATACACAGACAAGAAAATCAGTGGGTCATTGACAGGTTCCCATTAACTACTCTCTTCCCTGACTTTTCATTTCCAGGGTTTCCTTCCTAAATTAGCACTTAATATAGTACTCATTTATGTTTCCATACAGCAAACTCTGAGACAGGACACACCTTTCCTCCAATGATAAGGCCAGCTGAGAACTCATGATTCTTTCCCACTTTACGCAGAACCTTGAAGGTTTGATATGCCAGTTCCCGGGTAGGCGATATTATCAAAACTCCCAGTCCATCAGCTGAAGTCCACTGATGGCGATACAGGAGTTCCAAAGCCTGAAAAAAATTACCATATTCTCATTATAAATGTCTCAGAAGGAAAATACTGAACAACAACAAATTTGTAACAAAAAATGTCATTAAAAAAAAGATAAAGCCATACTAATTAAAATAATGACTTGAAGAAACATCAGTATACATTTCAAGTAGCATAAGTGATTGTATAAGAACTTATAATCAACTTGATTATAAGTTCCAACTGATGGTAATGATACTTGCTGAAGCAAAGTTCCCCAGTACCAATCTATGACAGACAGTGGTAAATTGTAAACATTTTTACTGCCGAACTAATCCTACTCCACTAAATTCTCAAAATTAAGCCTTAATAATTTATATGAGAATAGAAATCAGATGTAGAAAAACACAAGAAATTTCCCTACTCATAAGGTTTTGTGGGAACCAGAAACAGAATGAGCAACTAGAATAAAGTCAATAATTGCAGCTTTCATAGACTTGAAGCACTACTACCCACACATGCTATATATAAGCATTCCAACTAAAATTGCCATATACATCAGGCCAGGATTATTCCTCCTCTTACAAATTTACACTGCAGAAAGACTACCTTAGCTAATCCTGTCACAAAGATTTCACAGGTATGAATACCTGAAGTATTCTGAAGGCTATTAAGCATCCTTGTACAATTCTTATTTTTCTAAATGCCTCTTATCTTTCCAGCTCCTCTCATTACTTTTCTCCCCTAAAACTGTTTTGAAATCAGGTTTGTAAAACAAAGTACTTCTAGATTAACTAAGTGAGCAATCTCACTTTTGCTTCTCAAGTTCACAATACTCTTCTGAAACCACTGACTTTTTTTTTTTATTCTTTACTAATAAAAATTAATTTTAAAAAACCAACATAAAGCAAATATCTTCTCAACTAGAGAGGGTATTCAAAACACCCACGCATAGTTACTGATAGAACAGGCTCTAAAGAAATCCATGCTCACAAAAATGCAAGTAATGTTTAAACAATAAAAACTCTCCATAATAAAAACATTTCTTTTTTCCTTTTATCTAATCATAACATGATGGGGTTTGTATCCACTTATATGTGCACTTAAGCAAACAAACATCTCAATTATACTTTCAACTTGAAGAAATGAAATGCAGAGCATGACATTTTGAGTAGAACAGTCAAACTCTGTATTATCCATGACAGAGGTTTTCATCCTCTTTTCCTGCTTGCACCGGGAAGTGATTTCTAAGGAGTTCACAAAAGAAAACAAGGAAATGGAATTCCACCATCACTAAGCTTAAGTATGCTCCATGAAGTCCAAAGCCTAAAATTTTAAAGGGGTGAAAACAACCCATATAAAAAAAGTCTAAGGAACTGAAGAAACTTCAGTATTCTATTCCATACACTTAGTTTTCAAATTTTAAAAGAACTGAACAACTAGAGTTGCACCAGGAAAACAAATTCCTGAGTGAAAAATAAAGCAATTCCTAAACCACTCAGGGTCTACTAATGTATGATCAAAACGGAATTTCTAAGTGTCAGAATATTCCTAGGGTCAAGAATATAATTCTTTGAGAACTTCAAGCAGCTTCATTAAATTAGTATCTTGGCTTTCTTGGAACATCCAAATCAGCTGCATTATAACCCTTTCCCAGGATCTATTAACCTAAGCTGTTTGACATCCAGTACTTCCCGGATAACTTGGTCTAACTACAAATGGAAGAATGTAAATTACTTACTGGGATAATAAAAGCCAAGGTTTTGCCTGATCCAGTCTTTGCAGCTCCTAGTACATCTTTACCTTGCAAAGCCAAACCTATGGTTTGTCTCTGTATCTCCGTTACCACACGATACTGAGCTTCCTGCAATCCTAGTATTTGCAGTGTGGGGAGAGAAAAAGAGGGTGTGGGAGTGGAAGAGAGAAAAAAAAAATAAATCTTTATTTTTGTTTTGCCCAGAGCTGTATTCATCCATTTAGTGAACACTGTACATGGCAATATTTATCTAAAATATAGTTTAAAGCAAAAAATGCAGAAAAATAATACATTCATTTTTACTTAAAATACTTCCCAAAGAAAACTTCTGTACTTACCTTTTAGAGTTTTCTTTGACAATGGAAAATCTGAAAATCTTTGAATTTCACTTGCATTTATCTGAAACAAATTAAGTTTAATCAGTGTTTACAATCTAAACATAACAAAAATAAAGTAGCTTTCCTTAAGTTGCTGTTAGCATAAATATGTAGCTCAGTATGACCCGATCCAAGTTAGCTGTTCAGGCACTTTGACCTGAGCCAAAATGCTCTCCTAACAAACTGTTTAGTAAGCAATAAAATACACTTTAATTATGCAGGCTAACAGTGCAATTCAAAGCTCACACCATCATGAAATTGCAGAACAATTCAGGCTGAAAGGGACTTTAAGAGGTCTCTGCTCCAACCTCCTGTTCACAGCAGGTCGGCTTTGAGGTCAGATCATGATTTCTTCATCCCTTGGAATCATTCAAGGATGGAGACTGGACAGCCCCCCTGGGCAACCTGTGCCTCTGCCTCACTGTCCTCATGGGGAAAAAGTGAGTCTCTCTTCTTTCAGCTTATGCCTGTTGTCTCTCATCCTTCTGCCCTGCTTCATCTCCTTGATGATCTTCTCACAGGCATTAGGGGTTTCTGCAAGGTCCTCATCCCAATCCCAAAGTCATCTCTGCTCCAGGCTGAACAAGCTCAGCTCCCTCAGCCTCTCCTCACAGGGCAAGTACTCCAGCCCCCACCATTTCAATGGCCCTCCACTGAACTGGATCCACCTTACTGGTATCTTTTTCTTATTGGGGTGTCCAAAACTATAGTCAGTATTTTTCAGTGGAAAACAAACAAAAAAACCCCTCATTTTTAAAAGCTACTGTGGTATGCAAGCAGGGTTCAACATTTCTACAATGCCGTGTGCCACAAGCCCAGCCAGAACTTGCAATTAAAGCTGACGCTAAGCATTTCACACACAGTATCTCTAAAGTCAGAACTTCTGTCGCCTTTTTCTCCAAAACTGTCCCAGTCAGACTAACTGCCAACAGAGACTATAATAAAATACTTGTGGCAAAACACATAACTAGCCAATTATTTCCTACTTCTGTGTGGCTGCAACAAGCACCGAGTTTATGATTCATGCACACTAAGCATAAATTCATTTTCCTAGACTATCCACAGAGGATCAATTTGGTTTTGGAGGCTACTGCAAATAGAGTAATGATGGTCTTATCCCATAAACTGGAAATTGGGGCTTTTACCTCCCTTCTTCTTTAAGCATTCTGGCTTAAGAAAAAAACATTACTATGCTGCAATGTACAGAGCCATTATCTTCCTGAAAAACAGCAGCACAGCTACACTTGTAACAACTTAAGCCTTTTGGCTCCTACCCGTGAAGGCAGACTCCTTCATCTGCAAGGACCACATGCAAACACTGCTGGCAGCCTCCCCACAGCCTACAACCTTACTAGAACTAAGCTGTCCTTTTCCCATCTATATTTAATGTAAGTAGTGAGGATGAAGTGTATTCCAGCTGCTGCATGAGATCAAACACCACAAGAGCAGGTAAGTGTTCTGCAGGGTAAAGGTCTGGTAAACACTTCAGGAAATAGCTCCAGACAACAAACACATTTCTCCCCATTCCACTTTTCCATTTTGACTCTCCAGTGCTCTGGTGAGACCCCACCTGGAATACTGTGCCCAGCTCTGGAGCCCTCAACACAAGAAGGATGTGTACCTGTTGGATTGTGTCCAGAGCAGGGCCACAAAAAGGATCCAAGGGCTGGAGCACCTCTCCTGTGAGGACAGGCTGAGAGAGTTGGGGCTGTTCAGCCTGGAGAAGAGAAGACTCCGGGGAGATCTTATAGAGCACCTGAAAGGTGTCTCTGAGAAAGCTGGGGCAGAACTGTTCACAGGGGCATGTAGCAATAGGACGAGAGACAGTGGTTTTAAACTAGAAAAGGGCAGATTTAGGTTGGATATTAGGAAAAAGTTATTCAATATGAGGGTGGCAGATCGTTGAAACAAGTTGCCCAGAGAGGTAGTGGAGTCCCCATCCCTGGGGATATTCAAGGTCAGGCTTGATGGGGCTCCAAGCAACCTGCTCTAGTGAAGATGTCCCTGCTCACTGCAGGGGTGTTGGACTAGATGACCTTTGAGGGTCCCTTCCAACCCAATACATTCTATGATTGTTTTGCATATACTTAGCTTAATGGCTGTGAACTCAAGACCCCACAAGAATCAGTGGAACAACACCAGGGAAGGAGCCCTAATAACGTCATCACTGCACATCAAATTAAAGCACCCTCAACTCAGCTGCTCTCTGGGCCCATGAGAGGAGAGCAGTCAGCTCATGGTTCCTGGGTGAACTCCCTGGAGGCCTTAGTGGGGCCATCTCCCACCAGAAGGCCCTGCAGACATGCAGGGGTCAGTGCCTGTAGACATGGGACTCATGGGGGGCTGCAGGGCTAAAATATTAGGGGACATCGTACAACTTCTTATGAGGTGTTTTACAGGGGCTGTGGGAATGTGCAAGACTTGTTATGGGATGTTTAGGGGAAGGATCAAAGAGAGGGAAAGGGACAGATCAGTGTGGACTGGTGGGGAGCCAGCATGAGAAACAGCTGCCTGGTCAGTACCTCATCTGATCCAGCCCAACACCCCATCACCACAGCCTATCCTGCAGCCTTACTAAATACTCTTACATAATAGGAAGAATAATTATTTATTACTACTAATAACAGGAATTACTCTTACATTCCTTCTGTCGACTTTCTGTGTGGGCACACCCTCTATTCTGAGCCCATATGAGAGACCACCAGCAACCTTCAAGGCAGACCACTGGGCAGCAGCATGAGAGCCAAGCGCTGGTAACTGGAGCAGGACCGAGAACCTCAGAGGTTGGAGGGTGCTGGTGCCAGCACCTGGGGAAACCAGGGTCTGAGGACAGCTCTGGGGCAGACTGAGTAGCTAACACCAGTGACCAGAGAGATTAGTTTTCCTTGTGTGGGTACATATTTCATTAGTGGACATCAACCCTGATCAGCCAGAGAGGAGCAGTACCAGCCGCCCGTGCTGCTCACGTGTGTGAGAGCACAACGTGTGAGTGAGCCTATGTGGGTGTAGGTCCTGTGTAAAGGCACTGCTCTCTGTGGTCATCAGTGGCTGGACACGTGTCCGGGCACACACATGAGCCTACTGGGAATACACACACACACCCTCACTGCAGGCTGGACCTGGGGACCTACTACTTGGACTACCTTGACTAGAAGAAGAGTCCAACTATGCCCTGAAGCTCACCAGATGCACCAACTTCATGCACTTGGTATTACTTAATTTTTCAGAGCTGTCCTACAGGGTACAAAATATACTAAAAAAGTAGTTCATTGTCCTGACACCTACTCATTTACTCCTCTGTACACATCCACCTCTACAGCATTTGTGTGTGTTAATTACACACACACACAAACAAAACCCCCAAGAGCACGTGTTTGAGTCCATCAGTTGGCTGAATGATTTACAAAAATGTTGAGATGTCAAGTAGAGATCTTAAGAAAAATGTAATACTTTCAAGTCTGTTCTAGCTGACAGGAGATCATCAAAAGATGCGGACAGCTTCCACTGGCAAAGTTCACAGCAATCAACAGCAGCAGGACAGAAGAAAACCCACAGGACTCAGAGCAGGGGGGTGGAGCAGGTAGAAGACTACTGTATCTGCAGACTGCACAGCTTCGAATTCATACCAACTAGCATTCATAAACTGAGATTTCCAAATGTCAAACTCAGAGCTTACACAAGTTGTGCATTTCTAGTAGGCATCATTTATCTCTAACAGGCTGCTAAATAGAAATCGCCCAACACAGGGACCAAGCTAAACGGTCCTCAGAAGTTCACAACAACTCGTGGTAACAATTCCAGAGAAGGCCTCAAATGAAGAGCTGCTGAGCTATCAGATCAGCCTCGTATTCCCTTGAAGTACCAAGCTTCCTGCAGGCTCTGCCTGTTATAGAACACTAAACTAGTTTTTTCCTGAGGGTTTATACCTGTCTAAAGCACCTAGATCACAGCACTACTCTTTTCAGCCTAGTTCTCCCTCGTAAAAACAAGAAAAGTAATTTCATGCATTAATTTGATCTCTCAATAAAGGATAGTAACGCTCTTATTAAAACCCATTTTTAACATATTTCAAGACAAAGCTCTTGCAAGGTAGATTTCAAACTTTCACTGCATCCTAACAGAGCAATTAAACTTTTGCCAAACATTACTCAGAAATCTTAAACGTGAATTATTTTTATAAAATCTACATGTGCTGAGAAGCATGTATTTTAAGCCAGTACATTTCTAGGAGGGGGGGAAAAACTCCTATCAGAAACCATCATTAAAAAGTCTTTTTTCGACTTTCACAAATTGGAATTTCTGACAAGTTTTTCTAAATTCAGTTGACAATTTATAATTCTGAAGATATTATGTATCACATGCCATACTGCATATTGAGCCAATTCTCAGTCTTATTATTTTGCATGCTAAAGGATCAGTGATGTATACACATTCAGTTTAATTTCAACCAGAGACTGTCCACATAGCACACAGTAATGCCTGCAGGAGGGAAAACTATTTTACTAACATTAAAAAAAAATTCAAGCAATCCATTATGTGCAACTGAAGGGACAGATTTTAACAGGTTTGCAACACACGAAATGGGCTATTTTAGCAATGTGAAATTGTTCTAAATAATTAATTTGCATCCAGTTCTGGGCCCCCAGCATAAGAAGGACATGGGACCTACTGAAGTAAGTCCAGAGGAGGCCATGAGGATGATCCGGGGGTTGGAGCACCTCTCCTGTGAGGACAGGCTGAGAGAGTTGGGGCTGTTCAGCCTGGAGAAGAGAAGGCTCTGGGGAGACCGTACAGTGGCCTTCCAGTACCTGAAGGGGCTACAGGAAGGCTGGGGAGGGACTTTTTACAAAGGCAGGGAGTGAAAGAACAGGGGGTAATGGCTTCAAACTGGAAGAGGGTAGATTTAGATGAGATTTTAGGAAGAAATTCTTTACTGTGAGGAAGGTGAAACACTGGAACAGGTTGCCCAGAGAAACTGTGGATGTCCCCTCCCTGGAAGTGTTTAAGGTCAGGCTGGATGAGGCTTTGAGCAACCTGGTCTAGTGGAAG